TTCTGTCTTCCCTCTTTTTTCATCCAGCAAACACTCCTTTTCTCTCATTTTCTTTATGTAATTTGAATGAGGAGGCCAGATATAACTAAATTAAATCACACTAGCACAGTAACATCTGATGGTTAGTCTTAACACATCAACCTTGAAACAGAGGCTAAGTCAAAGTAATTAATCTCTAATAGCAGAGTGTCCAGACATGCTCACTACAATCGACTCAACTTTTCTCTCCTTTTGTTTCCTGACAAGTCCACAACGGACAAGTTTATTTCACCAAAAGGGATACAAACTGAATGGTCTGCAAGTTGGAGAGTTGGAGATGTGTATATGTATTAATAACTTCAGTTTTCCGTGTGCGTATTAATAACTTTTAAGTTTTCAACTCAGGTGATGATCATGGACCCAGACTCCTATCTGCACTTTTATTTGTTATCAGACTGTTTCTGTCTTTAAAGAATGTGAGGTAATCACCTAAGACAATACCTCCTTGTATTACGCAAGACATCCAGTGTGTAGCTGATGACTCAGAACCCCGCATAAATTCTAAAGTGCTGGGGTGGGGTGGGGGGCCGGGGTGTGTGGATTTATCCTTGTTATCTGCTAGGTGTGTGCTTTCTACGTATTGTTTTCTTTACAATGGGGCACTTACCCCACCCAAAGAGAAGATATTAGGAGCAACATTTTGGGATCCATTTCTCCTCTTATTTCCTCTACCCCCCCCTTTTGAAGTTTTTTATTGTTCCACTCCAGTGAGATATGAATGTTTTGTGTTGTAGTATAGTGATCTGTTGATCTGTTCTCACTTCCAGATTTGTGATTTACAAACACAATAGATGTTATTGCTGACATCTATTTTTCTTAAACACATACAGGAAAAAATGTTGTGCCACAAGGGTTTTCAGGGTTATTAATGATAACCCTAACATTCAGAGAAACTGTACCGTTGCCATTTATAGTGCTCAGCCTTTTCCAAATTATGGCCTCATTTAATCTCAGCCATGAGGCTACTGTAATTATCCTCATCTAATGAGTAGGAAATGTTGGGCTTAGAGAAGTTTAACACCGTGCAGGATCATGGGGCCACGAGACTAGTGGGTGGCCTGGCTAGAATTGACAACAGGCTGTATGTAAACTGAAACATTTGTGAAGATGTTCCATCCTTTTTTGGTTCTCCCCCACCTCTGTCTCTCTCTCCTATTGATATCTAAACACATGAAAAAATCAACTGTGGGCCCGCCCTGGTGGCGCAGTGGGTTGGAGCACTGCACTGCGAAGCCAAACCGTGGACACTTCGGTGTGAGTTCGATCCCCACCCCAGAGGTGATCCATATCACCTGCTGCTCCCCGAAGCAGTATACTTCACCGATCTGCCTGTTTTGCTCCCCACTGTGACTCTGGTGAAGCCTCTAACTGCCCCTGGACCTTTGGCCTGTACCCCAGTTCTGTATGCATAAATAAATCTTTTGATAAAAAATCAACTCTACAAAGTAAAAAAAGAACTAGCATGATAAAAAGGAAATCTTCCTTTCAGTTTGCCCCTTAATTTCTCTGGTCACTCTTAAGAGTTAATCATCTATGTTTCAGAGCAATTTTCCTGCTTGACATTCTGCATGGAAGTCCTGAATTTGGTAAAGCAAATCACTGAGGTTATTTTTAAAAGTCACATTCATTAATGCATAATTTACACGAAATAGAATGCATTCTTGTAAAGTATATGGTCTGCTGAGTTATGACAGGCCTACAGCTCTTTAGCTTCTCCCATATTCAAGACAGAACACTGTCGTGGCTCTGAAAATTCCTCTCCCCAAAAAGGGTAGCGATGAATTCTGAAGAGGTCCATCTACCCTACTCACCAAGGTGCACGACTCCAGGGAGAGATACAGTGCTTCTATTGGTGTCATGACTGATGGCTTTGTGACAGCTGTCAGTCAGATAAGATGGGGACCAAGCGTAGGATGTGAGAGGGGGGTGTCCGGCCCCAACAGTTCCCCTGCCCATTGATTTGCAAGTGACAGGTCCACTTTGCAGGGACATTGTGTGGCTATGGGTCTCTCTGTGAACCTTAAAGAATTAAACACAACCTCTCAGTTTGAGTCACCCCATCAATGGTTTCCAAGTGAACTTGGAAAAGACAATTTGCAGTACATTGGCAAGGTGATGATTTCTGCTGTCTCAAGTGAGGAACAGGGTGACTTCCAGGATTTAAAGCCTTTTGTATCATTTATTAGCTTTGCCTCCCTGGACCAGTTGCCTGACATCTCCATGCTTCAATCTTGTCTATGCTGGGGACAAAACAAGGAGAAGGGCTGTGCTGTTGTGACGACTGACCGGATCACATACACCAGATGTCACAGTCGTGCCTGCTGTGACTCACTGTTAGCTGGCAGGATTATCTGGGCTGTTTTTGATGGGTTTTCAGGGTAGTTTTTATTGTAAGACGTGAAACCAAGACTGAGCAGCCTTCCTCTGCTCCAGCTTGAGGTTTTATACAATGTTGACCAAGGCAAGCCAGCACAGCTTCCAGCCCCCCTTGGTAGACACCTACGTTGTGAAGGAACTTGCTTTGCTTTAATCCCTGCCTCATCCAGTTTCTATTTCTATACAACTTCACAGAAGCTAAGGGAGTAGACAGAGTGTAGGGTTCTAATCAAAGCTAACCACATCCCTGCCACCATTGGATAATATTACAAATCAGGCACGTCGGTCCTGTTTTGACTCAGAGGCAGAGCAGGCGGCAGAGAAAAATAAAGCTAAAACAATTCAGTTTCTTTCACATCAGTGATTAGGGGATTGCAGCTCACAACTTGCCCGGGGATTCAGAACTTTTTTTCCCCCTAGAGAAAAAGCTGTTTTGAGCCACGTGGCCTTCTAATTGAATGGTCCTGCAACTGTTGACCAACTGGTTCTGATAACATAGTACCTGTTGTCTGGGTGGTCTTGAGGATTGAGGGAGATGATGC